CGCTTACTGTGATCCCAGCAAGCTGAAAGTCCACCAACATGTGTCCTTTTCCGGTCCTGCAGTCTGATATTACACGGGCGTCGTAAAACTGCCACAGTATCTGAGAAAAAGGCCGCATCGAGCCAAAATGCGTGATTAGTAATCAGGAATTTGATGAGCCAGTGTCGAGGGAATAGAAAGATATCTAATTGTTTCCAAGGCAAATATATCGTCGCCACTCGCCCACCCACCGGTCTTCCCTCCCGTACACGTGGGATGAGACCCATATCTCAGCTACTTCTCACAGTGGTTCTACATAGGTCCACCTTACTACCCCATATTTTTGCAGGTTCAGATCGTCTAGTCAGTTTTTTTTTTGCAGGATTCGGGTCAACTTTTCATATTAGTAGGGGCAGCGGTCAACCGGCAGGCTTGGGGTTCAGCATTTTTTAGTGCTCTCTGGGCTCTCTCGCATATACGTATAACATTCATCTGCTTTCCTTCCTTCCTTCAAAATGTTAGTCAAGTAGCAGAAAGTATGTTGCTTTTCTCTGAGACCCTCTGCGTCGGTTGGGACTACTGCCCGTGACCTATAAATCTCGCGACGTCATTGCGTACATCACACGTCTACTGTATTCAGAAATCTAGCATAGTTCCTCTTCTCCTTGGATAGTTTGTCCAAAAGTTTTTTTTTTTCCAATGTGAACCAAGGTCATGTTGATTTGACACGAAATTTTCAGGACAAATCAATTAATTGGATATTCGGCCGATCAATCGGCTTTTCGCACTTCAACGATGGGCACTTCCCCACCGTCCATGCACTTTTGAATGACTTGTGTCCTACCTTACTGTGTTTAGCCGACTGTTTGATTGAATATCAGCTTACAAATTTTCAAGATCGTTGGACGAATCTGTTGATGAATCTTTGACCACCGCTCGCCTGGCTTTGCGTGCCCTATTGAAGTGGTGAGGGTAGGGGAAGTTTGGGGTGGGGGAAGTGGGGAGGGGGGATATTTATTCAAAATTTTCTTCACGTATAGCTCACCCGGTTCTAATCCGTTTCATTCGCATTCATAAGAACGTCTACGAAGTGTGTGAGCTTCATATTGAATCAGCAGAGCTATGTTTACTTTAGATGTTCGCTCTTTATCGATCGGCAAATTCCTAGATGTCCTTCTGGTTCACAAATTTAATTTTTGACCGATTTTTTATGCAAAACAAGTTTTTATACCATTTTTTCACACCTCTATGACCAGGATGAGCTAACATCGGCCAACCAGCCAAATCTCGATAGAGGTCGTAATGATTCTCAGGGCAAGGTGAGGGGGTTTATCCGAGTGGAATTGGCCGTGTAAGGAGAGAGTAGGCTTTGATGCGACTGATTTTAGGAATTTGAACAATGAAATCAATTTTTACTTCTTTTCGAACCTGAGTTGGAGCGAACGGTGCCCCCAGTAACGTAACTTGTAGCGCACTTGCCCGGTCAGCGAGAGGTGCGGGTTCTAATCCCGCCTGGAGGCGAAAGTTTTGTTCATAACCCACTATCTCGTGAAACGAAATCAATGTTCATGATGTGCAAAATTTTAAGGATTTTGCAGAACATTCACCACAGGTAAGGAAAATTTGCTTCATTTGTGGTATACCTGCTCCCACTTCAACCCCTCCCTTTCCCATCCGCTCGGCCGACGTCATCTAAACCAGGGTCAACCGTGAGTTCGCACTACTCGACGAGAAGGTCGCTTTTGTGGTTTTGGGAAGGGAAGGGGGTCGCATTCAGGGACTGAGTGGGATGAGTGGGTCAGTAGTGGGTTTGTTGAGCGAATGGCGAGGCGATTTAGATCGGTTTTTTGAGGGGTTTGATAGATGTATGGTTTTTTGAGGGACTTGATAGATGTAACTGGCGTAGCTTGAGGTGGGTAGGTTGGAGTAGAGAAAATTTGCCGTTTCATTGGACCAATACCACCCCTCCTCCCGTTCGACGGTCGTTTTGCGTTTTGGAGGGAAAATAGGGCGGAGTTGGCCTGTGTTACTGATCTCAGATACTATGGAAACAACCATGATGGCGAGGGTGGTGGTCGGGGGTGGGAGCAGAGTCAACCCTGCGTTGCGCAGTTCGCAACGGCACGTTGAGAGATCCTCAACGCACGCTGTATGGGCGGAGACGCAGACGGCTCGAGCATGCGAGTGTGAATGTTCGCGCGAGAGAACGTGTCTAATCGGGCGAAACTGCGCAACGTGGCCGTTGAGAACTGCGCAACGCAGGGTTGACTCTGGTGGGAGAAGGGTGGTCGTATTGGAAGAGCCTTCTGAGTGAGGGTCATGTCAGTCCTGAAAGAGCGAGGGCCACATTTCTTAAATCGCGGGATACCCTGCATTCGACTCGGTAATCAAAATAAGCAATGGAAGGGAACACGTGTCCGAAGTGGACGGTTGACAAAAACGACGATTATCAGAGAAAGTACTGGTAAGTACACGAAGTAGTACTTTCCTAAGTATCTAGCATCAATAACAGCTTGCACATGCAATAGTGCGAGCATGTGAGCTGAGCACCACGAGGAGTGGCGTGATGTTTCGTGGTGGCGACTCAACTGGCGATGTGACGAGGGCGGTGACGAAGCAAGTGCGGACGGCGCGGGGGAAAGAGTTCGGGCGCGGGCAAGGGCACACGGCGGGCGGCGGTTGGACCGCCCCGTGCTGATTTTCTGCAACTTTGTTAGCATGTGTCGATTCGTCGTGTAATTGAGTCGTTTCGTGGCCACAAATCGTTGTCGCGTTGTGTTTCATCGATTTTGAGCCTATGAGTACTCATCGCGGGCAACACTTTGTGACGCGGAAATCGAGCGCGATCAAAAAGGATGACCAAAAACGATGCGACCACCCACCACGTCTGTACTACATGTTTCGGCGGCGCATTTCACGATATATCGATTGCAAACTGGCATTTTTGACGGCTCATTCCGTGCTTTCGTCCGCATGTTCACCACCTTTGAAATATCCCAGCTAGGATCATTCAAAAATTTCCCGTTTCAACCTTTAATCACGTTGCTCAGCGGAGTGCAAATCTGTGACGCGTTTCTCGCGCTCGTTCGTTTTTCCCTGCGTCTGGTGCACTTCGTTGCTCTGACAGAATGAACTCGAACTCATTCGTTTGATTGTCAATGCGGACATGTAATGGCTTTTTCTATTTTCTTCACCCGTATCGATTAATGCTCTCATTTTTTGACATATGGACGCATAGAGAGAGGCAAGTGAGAAGGCCTGGCCTCAGCCCGGCGACGGCAGCCGGAGGACCTCATTTCGTTTCAATTACTATGCATAGCCTGTGCTCTCCATGAGCTTGCCAATGAGCGACCATGAACTACATGGGAATTGATTTTTGATGCTTTAGATATGTGCTTTTTGAGCCTTTCCCTGACTATTTTAGTGCCTCAATAACAGGTCGCGCTCAGAACGTGTGCCCTCTTCATGTCAGCTGTCGTGTAGCATATTGACTGATAACACTCTGCCACTTGTAATCTGTTGAAAAGTAATTGTTAGTGAGTGCACCAGCAAAGCCCGTGAACAACAACATAGCCCATGTGACTTCTGTTCTTTGATGTTTACATGTGTATGTCTGCACTGCCCTTTTGCTCATGAGACATCAAATTTGCAGCGTATTCAGCGGACTCGTCAATTTGTAACAGTTGCCCGTTGATCTCTTTATAATTCCATAGCCTTTCTATGCAAATTGTATTATATGATTGCTTTCCAACATTCCGTGCAAAATTTTATTGCGTGAAGTGCCAATAAAAAGGTGCCTTCCGAATTTTCTTTCCGTTTCTTTTGCTCCTGACAACTTTTACTTGAATTTGTAACAGTTGTCCGTCAAACTCTCGTACCTTTTTCGTTTCCCTTGGAGGTTTTTGTATGAAAGTGCTCAATTGCAACAATGCTAGATAAAACCATGCGAAAACGCTCGAAAGTATTTACCATTTTTTCCTTTTTTTTCTTTTGGTATTTTCTGTTCGCATTTGTAACAGTTGTCCGTTCAACTTCTCGCAATCTTATTCCTTTCCAGTGCAAATTTTATCATCCGTGTGTTCAAAAACCTAAGTTTGTCTATGTGCAAGTAGTCACAGGGGGATTGTCGGGTTTTCTTCCCAATTTTTGGTCATTTATTTAATATTTTTTGAATTTAATTTAAAATTATTTATTATCATTATCGCATTTGGATTTATTTATTTCATTTATATTTTTTATTATTTTTTATTTATTATTGTTTACAATTTGCCCTTGTACCTGTGACAGTTGTCCGTTCAATCGTAATATTTCCGACGCTTTCTTCTGTACGAATTTTATTATTTGATTTTGTGAAACCACTGTCGTTAAATTCAGTCATGTATAGATTTGCTCACAGAAAGGTGCTTCCCGAGGTTTTTTCCACTTATTTTTCTTTTTGTCAAATTTCCTTCTCTTGCACTAGTCAATACTATTTCCGAAGATGTTGTACTTAGGGCACAACAGCTGCCTTGTTTTGCCTCTTTCCGACGACGTTCCGTTCATTTTTACTCAACTACGCGGTCAGCCTTCTACCGAACTTGGCTATCCAGTCTTGCGTCTTCTGCTTTTAAGTTTTTATTGAAGTAGAGTTTTAGCTTTAATATTGATCTTATCGTGGTTAAGTAGAAGTTTATAATGATTTTGTTTTTGTGTTCAAATTGAATCAAAATTAGAATTTAGCTCAATTTTTGGCCTATCGAGAGATGCGGAGCATTTTCTAGGACTAATCCTAGGAGGGAGGGGATGCCAGGGAAATGGAAATTGCTCACACACCGTGAAGTCTGTCCACTCACCTAAGGCTTAGTCCTTTTCTAACAAAAGAGAAATGTTTTACTAGTTTCCGGAGCATTGCTCCCACAGTGCCCCCTTATTTTGCGATAGCGCCCAATTTGCCGTTTCAAGCGTTTTGAACCTACCCCTTATGGAGAGACCCATGATTTGCCGGAGAATTTGAGGGTTTGTAGACAATCAGATTTGTATAGGCAAATATCGCAATGATTGTACAGGCCGTCAGCAGACTCATTCTATGCTGCGCCGGAAGACACAATGACTTTGAGTCAGACTCAACGGCGACTAAAGGACACACTGACGAGAACGGTAGTGATTTGGCATGGATGGCTGTTGCTGGCGGTTTATAGACCCTGTAGGGACGTACGTAAAGTTTCCATGGTGGGAGTTAGATTGGGACAAAATCTTGGGTTTAGTAACTCTCTCTGTAATAAGAAATAAGTGGCACTGCTGGAGTTCGAACATGCATCGTGATTTTTTACTAGGGTGACCAGAAGTTTGATTGGACTTTTCAATTTTTTGGTAAATTATTTTGGTGATTTCAGCGCCATTCGAAAGCTCACACTCTTCCATATATTTGTGCATAAATAATTGTATATTTATTGTTGTCAGAGTTGTGGTGAGCTTGAAAAGTCAGGCTTTCCAGAACAGCAACGCAATCAATTTCTTGCGGGTAAATTTTTTGGATTTTTTTGAGCTAGACATGTGATCAAAAAATTACTGTCACGATGGCTAGAAAGCGGAGTGGTTTTGGTGACGTCATTGAACGTTACTGGCGGAACGGCATAAGATGCGGTTCCGGACACACCCGCCAGCACGCTGAGGGGTCCAGTCTGCCAAATACGCCTAGTGACGTCACCAGAACCGTACCGCCCTCCAGCCGTCGTGATGGTTACTTTGAGGCCATGAGAAAAGATGACATTTTTTTTGCTCAAGCTCGTACTTGGCTCCACTCACCGCACTTGTGTCGTAAAATGTTTTACCTCAAATGTGGTTTTTTATATCAATTGCGTTTTCTTTTCTAACCTTTTTTGCCATTTCTGTCAAGGGTTTGAATTGATTGCTCTATTTCCTGTGCCAAATTGAGCTTGAATTCGTTTGCTGTTCCTCAGAAAAAGCCGTTTTATCCACGTAGCGCGCGCTATCTACTATTGCACTGAAGCCACATTTGGTTTGCCAATTACCTATACATTGGTATGCCAGTCCAATCCGCGTAACCTTGCCATGAAGATTTTTGTTACCATCTTAGCTCAGCGCGTAAAACAAGCTCCTGCTTCCAAAGGTCATGAGCACGACCTCACTGTAGATCAGATCGGCATACCAGTCGGTTGACCCGGCTATTATGTATGGGGCCATAGAAATCGCTTTGAAGACGGGCAGCGCTTTTATCGTTAGAAGCCAACCACCTGTGCCCCCCCCCCGTCTCACCTTCCTCGCAATGTTACTTCAGCAAAGCGCCACGAATTTTGCATGCAGGGTGAGCGATTGCGGACATTACAACATCACCGAAACGAAGAGACCAGTTTGAAATTGTTATTGGCGAAAAACGCCCCGAAACATGCAAAAACTAACACTGACCCCTTTGCCCTAAATTTTTTTGTGATTTTTGCCAAGGTTAATCGTTTCTCGTTCGAACATCTACTTCCTTGTTTGTAGTTGATAGATTGTCATCTGCCCATTGCACGGAGTCATTTTTCACTATTTTGTTTGATTTTTTTCCCGTTGAGATCAGCTATAACGCGCTCATGGCTGCATTTTTGGTGTGGGATTATGAAATTCGCAGCTATGGAAACGTGACCTGTTGTTTACACATGAACCCTGAAAACAATACCTCTAGGACCATTGAATAGTTCCGAGGACCACTCGATTGTTTAGTCGGATTTTTCTCGCCACCAAGTCAGTTGCTATAAACATTGCCCTTTTGGAAAGCCGGCTTAAGGGCAGTGGGTGCGACAAAACGAATGCGCGCCGGAAAGAACATGCACCATTAGATGGGGTAGCTAATCCGCAAAGAAGTGAAGGGGGTGTCGTTTTGGCGCCAAAGAGTGCGCAGGTAGGCCCCGGACTGAAACCCGCCCCACCCGCAAACCGCTCCGCCCACATGTGAGATTTTATAATGCTGCCGTGGTTATCGCCCTATTTTTACTTTGATAGTCCATTTGGTGTTGAACAGCCTTATCTTAATCTTGTTGTGTTGATACTCCAGAGAGGTGCCCTAATCCTGGCAAATTATAAGGCGTAAACTCGTCCAAAATCAAACGACGAGTTGAGGGTCCACTTCCGCAGTTTTTTTTTGTGAAATTTTTGCTTTTTTTTGCCACAGCCTCACAATTTGTACTCTCAGTTCCATTCTGTTCTCGCTCAGAAATATCCCAATCGCCGCGTTTGAGGAAGGGGTTATTCTCAAGATTAAGGAACTAAAAGTTAAAAATCTATAATGAACATGTGGTCCAAGGTCACCAGCGGTGTGTCGCCATAAAATGACCGTAACGACCCTGAAATCCGTTTGCGACGCGGTTCAGATCAAAGTCGATGTGTAATGGTGGATTTTTCTGCCACATGGACAAACTTTGCGCTATCCATTAGCACTTCATCCGGTCTAGTTATTGAACCGTCAGCATTTTCATGGACCATTTTAGCCCACGATTCATTGAATTCATAGAGGAACTTTATAATTTGAGCAAAGTAGCGATCGATAGCAGTGAATTGTTCCTATACTTCCTCAAAGTACATTAACAATGTTAGTGATATAAAGTGGTGGTGAGGAGGGAGGGGGGGGGGCGGGGTGGTTCAGGTTGGGGAATGCGCCATGCGCTAAATTTTCACTTGAAATTTGAATGGTACTTAGATTGTGGTGCTTGAACAATTACTGAGCACAGCGTCTGGTTTGGCCTGCAATACATCATAGCGCTCGCTACGTGTTGCTAAGGCTAGGGATCGATCATTGGCTAGTCAGAGAGTGGACTTACCCAGAATCCTCCTTTTTCCTCATTTTCAATCATAGCTACAGCTTGCGCAGGGGAGGTGGTAATGGTATTTCGACCTGAAAACAGTGAGGTTAAGCAGGCTGGCAGTAGTGCTGACTTCAGGTGCCTGCCAGTGAATCACCGAGTAAGGTAAAGTTTGGTTGACAGAGAAAGTATGTCTGAAAAAGTGCAGGGCACGCCCCTTGTACGACGAAATTCGCAACATATTCAGCACGAGCCGTTCACCGCATCTGTTTTACACTGCGCTGTTATGCCTGCATATTGGAAATATTGTTCTATAACCTCTATTTTCCATGCTTTGTAAGCGTTGTCCTTTATCCGTCTGCGCTCTAGCCCCTAGCACGGCTGCTTGGATTTCTTGACTATGCTAAATTCTCTAGCTTTGTTAGTCAAGATTTGCAGACTACAGGGTGCGCCAAAATTACGGAGACAGCGACTTCGAGTTGCCTAGGATGAGCAAGGTGCAATTCTTTGAAAACAAAAATGCAGTGACGTGCACAGTCCCATTCTGAATCGTCGACATCCATGCAATTTTTGAAATTCCTTGGTTTGTGTTATACACGGGTCATCAGAAACATCAAGGAACC